TCAATTATACATTGCAATATTTGAAACCAATAAAACAGAGCTTTTTACTATATGACATGGCTTTCTTTGGAAGGCATTGCAACCACAGTGGAGTTTGGAAACTTCACACATAGCTTATTTTTTTCTTTAATGACTTTATACATATATATCTTGTTACCAACCTTTTTATACACATAATTTTATTTTTTTTTAAATTGCAAAGAATATTTTGTTTCCTTGTTTCAGTTTGGCAATGAACTATATAATCTTGTTCCTTATTTAGATGCATTTGTTCACTATTCAGACAGCATTACTACTGCCCACAATTAGAATCCACCGTAATTCAAACACCATCACTTATCACACTCCAACCCACTCAATAGACAGTGTGGTAGCAGAGAGATCAACACATCTTTTGAGAGAACCTAAAGCCGGAGTCTGAGCAGTGGTTTGATGCAGAGAGCTTCACCAACTCTAATGGTGTCTAGTCACTTTGGTGGGCAGTCAAAGGCCACCAGATGCAAAGGTAAGCCATATCTCTTACATATGACCTATAAGCTAACAGGGATTTGTAGTGATTTGGCATAATCCAGACTTAGTTTTGCATGAGGACAAGCTGCTGCTGGTTTCAGCTGGCTCTGAAAGAGCCCCTTAGATGAACAAAGCAGATCTTGACTGGAGCTTAGGTAGCTCTGTATGGTGAATAACTTAATAACCCTGATGTTACCCAGAGAGAGGTCATCTGTCAGCACACCATTAACTCCAGGAAGAAGGAAAATTTCGATACATAAGAAAAAAACCCTTGTTGTTTAGTGTCAGTTGAATTTATCAAATGAGATGCATCCACAAATTCAGTGCTGCAGTGGAAAAGAGCAACAGTCCCTACAAGTGAAGGAAAGCAAAAATAAGAGTTGCAATTTTCTTATTAAAAGAGGAAACAGATGGAGAGAGAGGTGATAATTCAGTAGGAAACACTAAATTAAAAGAGAGATATCCTATCTCTGTCCCAGAGACACTAAAGAAAATAAAACAACCTAGAGAAGCTCTTCGGCAATTTTAAGAAAACCCAGTCCTAGAGGGACAGGGAATTGTTTCTTTGTGGCAAGATGGGGACCAATTCCCACTCCAGGCTATTCCGTCTTGACTCTCTCACCTCCCTTCCCCCTCCACTTTCCCGATCTGCAGCCTTGGCCTGCTATCCCTTTGCTGCTGCTCTCCCCTTATCCTTCGCTGTCTTTTTGACTTTTAGCAGTTCCCTAGCAACAGCTGTTTGCAGCTGAGAGGAAGAGCTCTGGACATTTTGCAGGCATAGCAGTGGGCAGGGCTCAGCCTTGGCTCATGGGTGATGGCTGACCCCAGAACTGGGGGAACACGGAGCAGCTCCAGGGCAACAATTTCTGCACTGATCTCTGGTTATGACCTGAGACAGTGGGGCAGCAACTAACTCTTAAGCCTCAGTTGTTCTTCTTGCTGGTTAACAACAGGTTACTCATTCTGCTTAATCTGAAACACTTATTTCCCCTTGCCAAGCACTGGGCTTCACCCAGTGGAAAAGCCTGTCAGTGTGGCAATCCTATGGTAGGGACATAGGGACATAGGTATTCAGATATGGCACAAGTGTCCCCATTCCTCTTGTTAAAAATAAGAGCTCTGATTTTTATGTATTGGATGTTGTCCTGACCACCCTGCTGTCCATCCCACCTTGCTGCTGGAGGCTGTTACCTCTGGAGCAGAATTAGGAAAGGTGTGCTCACAGCTCAATGGCTGCACTTCACAGTGGCACGTGTTAGCCAGAGCCACATGGGCTACATGCAGGGACAGCCAAGGACTCAGGCTTGCATTCCCTTCCACTCACTCTGCTTCTGCAGCAGCAAGGCTCTGGCACAGGGGAGGATGGGCAGCTGAGGGCAGCAGTATCACTGCAGTAGAGCTAGTGGAGCTCAGCTAAAAGAGTGCTAACTTATCATTATTATTGATGATGTTGTTACTATTATTGTTATCATTATTATAGTCCCCTTCTAATTCGCCCTGAAGAGACCAAACCTGTGTTACTTCATACAGCAGCCATTCCCTCACCACCCCCAAACTTCTCCTGTCAGAAGTGCTTAAGTTACTCCGGAAAATATGATGCAAGTTTTTAAGCCATTTGGTAGGACTTTTGAAAATTGGACTCCAAGTCATCACACTGCAATAATGAAGTTACTCCAGAATAGAGTAGTACACTAGCTAAATTTGTAAGGTGGGCACATACTTACATAAACCTATAATGCCAACTGATCAAAGCATCTGAAAGACCCCACAGAATAGTTATTTCATTTTAAAACAGAAGAAGAAAAAAGACAAGGTTTTCTCCATTATCCAACAAAACAAATGGCCAGTGTTTTTTATCAGGCAGCCACTGATGTGTGAATTCTGTGATAGTGCCTTGATCATAGGTTTTTTCCTCCTGTTTATTCCAAGCTTCTTAACTATCATGTTGAATAAAGGTGCAGAACTGTCTTGCATGATGGAAATTATATGTCTGGATGTGTTGTGAATCTGACCTCATCCTCGGTCTTGTCTTTTTCCAGAGTGGTGTTTTGTCTCTGCCTTGCTCATCCCTGTATGGTCTTGGCAGCCCTGCCAGCTGGCACACCTTATGTATGAGACACATCAGTTACCCATTGTTTCACCCCACCTCCCACCACCTGGTGCAGTGTCCACATTTCCTGGCAATTCAGGAGGTTGTTCAGCACTCTTAGCAGTGTCCCCCTCCGGTACCCCGCGTGTCTGCCAGCCAGCTGTGTCCGGGGCTGGGGATCCCACAGCAGGAGAGAGGATGCTGCCTCCACAGCTGCTACCAAGTATGTGACTTCTAATCCCCACATGTGTCCCATATGCACATGTGTGGGGTAGGAGTAGACTTTCCCTGCCCACCCCATGTGACTTGGGATACTACAGTGACTTAAGAGTGCTGTAAGTTACAGAGTAGTGTTAAGGTGAAGCCTCGTAAAGGATAACTAGGTGCCTTTTCTCTCCTAGCCTAAAGAGACCCAATCTGTACGTTGCCCTTGCTGTCCTCTACATCAACAGCAATCATCATTTGCACTTGTATCCCCTTCTCCTTGCTCTACCATTTTCACTTTCCAAGCTCTGTCCCTAAGCCTGCATCTCTATGACAGTAATCTCTGTTGTCTGGAGGAGCTGCTGTGCAGACTGGGATAGGATGTAAATGGATGGTAGATGGGATGGAGGAAGTACATGTGGGCAGAAGGCTGCTCAAGTAGAGAGAAGAGACAGTGGGGTATAGGGAAGGTAGCAAATTGGAAATGGAGCCCATATACTCCAGGGAGTAAGAAAGGAACAAAGGACATCAGGGGAAGAAGGAGCAAGAGAACTGGAGGAAAATTGACAGACTTGTCTGTCATCTCCTACTAATCTGAAAATCCCACTGTCATCCTCTCTTGCTCACACTTCCCATCACACTGATGCTGCCCAAAGTATCACTGATTCTTCCCACGCTCCCCCACTTTTCAGCCTTTGGAACTGCCTTCCTTGCCCTTTTCCACCTCTTGCAGAAAATCACTTTTCTTACCCAAAACATGCTGGCAAGCAAGAAAATTCTCTGAGGCTGAAAAACCTTGGTGTGCTGGGGTCGTGACCTGATGCCTGGGAATTTACCTTCTGATCTTTTATTTTTTTACACCAACCTCACAGGAGCTGAGCTGTGCCTGCTCTCACACCTCTGTGAGCTGCAAACAGCAACTCCTTCTTTGGTCCACAGCTGAGACCTCTCTACTGGGGTGAAAACATACCCATATCCTATGGCCACACATTTTTCCTTTTGTGTCCTTTCTGAACTTCCTATTTTTTTCCCCTGGTTCCTGCTCTTCTGTATATCTTAGCTACTTTCATTCTTTTTGCATTTCCTTCTTTTTTTTTGACAGTATTCAGTTTTTGTCTTATCTCCAATCCTAAGCTCGTCTCTCTGTCAATCACCCAGGCTCAGCAGCAAAATAGTTAATTTGAAGTGCCCTCATTAGACTTGAAATGAGATTAGTTGTAGGGTACAGGAGTTTTCACTTCTCAGGTACTGTTTCAAGCTATCCATTGTCTCAGGCAACTGCTTTAGTTATAACGACTCATATTTGATAGCTTCTCTCCAAAACCAGAGGCAAGACTACTTTTGTTTCCAAAGAAATTCTGATATTCTTAGAACTTGAATATGCCATTTGGGTCACATAAACATATGTTGGCCAGATGTTTAATATCCCTGTTTCAATGTGTTTTGCTACAATAAAGGAATAATGAATGTTCCTGCAGGACAGCTTCATGTAGATGAGGATACAACAAATGCATTTTGATTTTCAAGTGTGTAAGAAGAGCAGAGAAAAACAAAAAACTGAATGAAATGTAAATTCCATTCTAATTTTTCCTCTGTGAACTTCATATTTTATCCATAGATATGAGTATAACATGCATTATGAGTTGACCAACAATATACTGTAAAAACAAGGCAAGGCATAATGAATGCCACATATATAACTCCATATAATGGGTCTATGGAATCTGCCCCTCCTACCTATACTCAGTCGGTATCTTCAGCTGCTTTCCAGCAAGACTGAACTTGGTTAAGTAGGACTGAACTTGGTTAAGTAAATGACAATCTGGAGTGTTTAAGTGTTCCACCAATTGAATAGATGAGCATTAAAAAATACTGACACTACAACGGATCAAATTTTGCCGTAATTTATAGATCTTAAAATTCTCCAGGAGTTACTGGGGGTGTGTTGGTGTATCTGAAAGCAGCATTAAGTCTACGATTTATGGGATCAGTTTAGTACAGCGATAAGCCTATCAGAGATTAACACACACACACAGTTTCTGCATTTTGTAAACTGCCATCAATCCCCAGTACTGCCACCAGAGAAGATAATATCTTCTTGTCTGCAATAAAATACACTCTTTCTAAATTTGGTACAAGAAATATTTATTCCTCGCACAGCTCAACCATATGAATAAAGAACTCAAAATGACTAGATCAAGTCCAACACAAATCTGTTGGTATGCATCATATTTTATGTCATACAAAGTTCTCCAAGTTACATGTTCAAATACGATATGAGACAACATATTGGGAACTTGGAATACGAAATCCTGGTTCTGCTAAAATCATGGTCTAGTCACATCACTGCTTCCAATAGAGTTTGTCTCCAGGCAAGCCTCAGTTGTATCAGTGCTAGAATCATTTTGCAGAGCATGGACTACAGATTAAACTGGTGGGTGAACATTTGTGTGTTTGAAATGTATTGTGCAGCCATGGCTGGTCCCTAATGGTGTATTGTCTTCTAACTACTTAGCTCCTTTGGCCCTTAGTAGCATTGAAAAATGCCAGAAGATGGACAGAGTGATATAGAGTGATAACCACCACCAAAAGATGAGCTGGATAGCAATGCTTCTCACTAGAGGGGAAAAGTCACTCAGACGCGAAATCAAGAAGCAATGAATAAAATAGCAAAAATAGCATTCTGAGGTAGGGTTTAAAATGAGCCTGAGACTGGACCACGGGTGATGTGGTCTGTGAGGTTTGTGGGGCATCATTTGGGAGTTAAGAGATGTGAACTGTTTTTTCAGCAGTTCCAATGGGACCAACTTTTCCCCAACTTGTGTTCCCTCTCTGTTCTGCTGTGCCTCTTCAATTTATCTTCTGGTTTTGGTATTTAATTCTTCTGAGGAGCAACTTCTCTCTCTTCTTATAAGGTATTGCAGTACACATTATAATAAAAATCTGATTTCTGTTACGACACAAAGATCATCTTACAAATTATATAAAGGATAAATAGGTGAAGATGGAAGTCCCAGCTCTGGAATGAAATATAGGGATCTATTGTCATTAAAAGCTGATGTCACTAAAAGTCTCTTTAGAAAAAGCCTCTGTTTCCCAAAGGTGGGATTTCCCTGTGTGAAAGTGTGTAAACCCAGAAGACTCTAGTCTCATCCTGCATTATGTAAGAATGTATAAAACCAGCAACAGCAGATGCAACCATTCTGTGTAGTCTAGAGTCCTTTCTCTGATAATGTCCAGCAGTGGTGCTGTGGTAAGACTAAAGAGTAGGGTCAGCATATAGCAATCTCTGCCCTGTATACTCTTCCAGTCTCCAGCAAGTTTTGGCTTAAGAACCCCCTGTATAATACAGCAGCAGAGCTGCATCAGGTAGCTTCTGATGTTTATTTCTTCCAGGATTGTATTTCAATTACTTCTGAAACTCACAGGAACTTCCAGCATCTATAAAATCCTGAGAAAAGGTACTCCAGAGCTTAACTGTGCGTTATGTAAAGGAGCTGTTTCTTTGTTCCACTTTGAACCTGCCACTTGCCTGCCTTGAACATGTGCTGTGTGATTCCGGCATGGTATTTCTGGCCTTTCCTCCAAGCTGAGGCGTAGGAAATCATGTTTGCAGACTCAGCAGTGTAAGGCAGCATACAACAGCACCAGAGAGCCACATAGGAGAAGCTGTTATTTTCATACCACTCCTCTTGGGCTTTCAAGAACCAAAAGACTCCTAGTCTTCTGGTCAGCCTTATTGACTGGATCTGGCTTTCTGGGGTTTGTGGATGGATGTACATGATAGTGAGCCTTCCTGGCAAAAGGAATGTCCAGGCTATCAAAAAGGAATTTGAAGAGAGTCTGTTTTCTTCCTTCCTCTGATTCACAGTCATGTTTCATTTCACCAGCTAAAAGCCCTGATGTGACACAGGAGGTTATTCAAGGCCATCCCATGGCAGTGCAGCTGAGTAAAAAGTATGGTTTACAACCTTACTAGCAGCTGAGCATGCTAAATACACAACTAACTTGCCAGCATGAAGAAGCCACGTGGCTCCACCAGCTTTTTCACTGTAAAGACGATGGAATACATTTTCCAAGCTGCACACAAAACTGTGCAGTACAGCCTCCTTCCTCCCTCTGCATCACTCTGCAATGGCTGTAAAGTAAAACAATAAGCACCTTTTATAGCCATGTTAAAGTTCCCCGATTTTCTGGTAAAGCTGTTGGTATAAAATCCCGACCCCTTACATGCTTTTTCGGACCCAAGTACTGTTTATTGCACAAGTGCAAGCTCAGGTCTGCTGACACTGCTGCGGGGTTTAACAAGAGGAGCACACCGGGTTGTGCCCTCCCATGCCCTCTCATGCTGCCAGCCCCAGTGCAGGCAGGTCCTCTGCAGTGACCGCGACAAAACATCAGACAGCAGAAAAACTGGCAACAACTGTGCGCACATCTAGAGTTACACTCTTACCGGGTTTTGTTTACCTTCTCCTAAAATGATCTTTTTTCCCCTATGAGAGAAATTATGCCTCTTCTCTTCTTCCTCCTGAACATCACCAAAAGGGAGAAGCACGTATGGTAGTAAAAAAGTGTCGTTAAACTACACTTGAAGTTTTAGCTGTTCTGGAATATTTGGGAAAATGCGTGAATATAGAACTAATAAGGATATTCTACAGGTTTCAAATATCACACACAGGATTGCTGCACAGAGAGGAAGTGAGAGAAAGAAGGTTGTATATTTGATGGCTGAAATACTGCCAGTCTCTCCCCGCCACAAAACATGTTCATGACGCTGCCTAGACATAAAGTTCAGTGTTTCATTTCATCTCAATAGAGATTTTATGACTAAGGTGTCGAGGATAAGAAAAGACCAATTTGTAGTTTTATTGATCAGACTAAAGGTCAGGGGCAGACGTGTAGGTCATGGTGCTTCCTCTGAACAGACACAGGACCAAGGGCCTACCTTCTGAAAGTGAAGAATGAGGCAGGGGAGGGGGAACTTACACTGATGAAACATGACAGCTGAGATGTCAATCATGACCAAATTGGACAGGCTCAGAGATGGGAGGCCTCAAAGCAACCACAACTTTGCCCCATGCCTGCACGCTCTGGCAGAGGAGCTTGTACTATGTTTGCTGAGGCTGTGATGTGGTACATGGGCAAACCCCAGGATGTGATTTAATATAATAAAAACATAATTCATGGTGATGAAGTTTATGAGATCGGGTTTCCCAGTCCTAGCTGAACCACATAAAGCATATACTGTCACTACAGGCATTTTGGCTGAAATGGTAGGGGCTTCTGCTGCATGGAGATAGCCTGGAAGGCATCTGTCACCATGCCCCTCTCTGGGCTGGCTGCAATAGTAGGATAACACAAAACTACACTGATTCATTGTCAGGAATTTAGTTTAGACTTAAAGTGCCATGAAGTGAAATGGTTTCCACAGCAATGTCATTTTTTCTCCTCTACTTACATTAATTTTGTCCTCATTTGCCCCTGTGAATCACCACTGAAAGTGAGACTTGGTCTCTGTAGTATATTCTGTTCCAGGTCTCTCTGTGTTGTATTTGCAGTGTAAAGCTGCTTATGGCTGAGACTCTGCTTGCTGTAAAAGACAGAAGATCCAGCATAGCTTTAATTAAAGATGGTTTAAGCTAACTTTTGTTCCTGCTGATTCTGAAGTATGCCAAGAAGTCATCTTCATGCCTCTGGAAGATCCCCTGATTGTTCTGCCTGCTTACCCTAAGACTAGCAATAGAAGGAGGTCTTTATACTTTCCTACCATTTATGATACATGTAGGCCAGGCAAAAATTAGTATAAGTGACTTAATTTAGGTATTGGTTTTCCTGACCTTACTTCTTCAGATGTAGTCAGTACAAAGCAAAAAATGGGTTTTGTTTTATGGTAAATTCAATCTTTAGGTACAAAGGATTCCTAACTCACAACTGACAGGTTAACATAGCTAAGCTCTTTGAAGATGAAACAGAGAGCTAAAACCTTCCCTTTTACTTCTCTTCCCTACATTCAGCTGAGGGCAAAGTAGGCCTGAAAATAGGCAATGTCCCTGAAGAAGGTATATCATTACATGTACAAAACATCTCTTAAGAATCTGTCCCATCATCCAGGCTGTAAGATGGCTTGATTAATATCCCACTACTTTACTAAATTTGTAATGAAGGAAACAATACTGGTAATTTCTTGGTATCTGATCCAGCCTTATGGCAGAGAAGGCAACTGTGTCTGTATACTGGTATCCTTTTGAGCCCTGTTTTCTCTGAATTTGGAATTAACCGAGAGCCAGTTGAAGGCCCTTGGAAGCAGAAGTTTAGGAATGGTGCATGTTACACATGAGGTATCTCAGGAAGTAAGATGGTCTGGCATACACATTTGCACAAACCACATGCTGAAGTAGAGAACAGGCCTACTTTTATTTGCATTTTCTTGATCTCATATTGGCTGAATTTTTCTGTGCCTGTACCATCTTCATCCTGATGGTTTTTGAGCTCCAGACAAAACCTGGTTTTATCACACACATGCCTTCCAGCAATCTAATTCCCCATCTTTCTTTTCATGCTGTCTTTCTTTCTTCCACCTGTTCATCAGCTGAGTAATGAAGTTCCATGGTAGGTTCTGGTGATCATGAGACCTGAGTTCTAATGTCTTGAGGCAGACAGTGGTGTAGTTAAGTTACACAGCTCGTTGCTATGCAGCTTGGTGGCTTCTAGATGCCTGCTGAGTTATCAGTCAATTGGAGCTTTCTGGCCACAGCGAATTCACGACTGTGGTAAGCTGTAAGAGTCATAAAAATATGGATGTCCTGTCTAAGAGCTCATTCTAAAGAAAAAGATGCATCCATGTTATTAGACAAAATCTTATAATAGTTATCTATACCTCAAGTAGTAATCTTCATGCCTAGCAGACTTAAGAATCCAGTGTAACACTTAGCACATATCTCCCTCTGTTCTATATCTTTTCTCTGGACTGTGGAGCAAGAGAAAGGTCCTAACCTCACATAACAAGGATTGAATAGCCAAGGCTCTGTATTCAAATTATAGCCTCAATGCTCCATTACTGTGCATTTCTATCGCCTTCAATACTCATATATTTGAATGTCTGGTAAATAGGGTATTCTAGTAAGGAAAAAGGAAAGATCATATTTACTTAGTGTGATAAGAAAATAGAAAGCTGCCAGCAAATATACCCACATTTTGCAGCTGAGGGGGTTTGCATTTAACAGCCATGCCGATTAGACCACATCAGATCTTGTAATTAGCTGACAGCACTGGGGGAGAGACATTCCCAGGGTGAAGCCAAACTGCAGCTGCAGTGTCTGTACTGTGTCATATGGGGAAGTGACCCATCAGTGGGAAGATTTGGGAGGACAATATCAAAAAGGATCCTAGCCTGCAAAGAGTTCAGTCTATGGAGGAGGTAATAGGCAGAGATTGTTAGAGGGAAAATGCAGGGAGGGAAAGCTGGAAGCCCACAGGCATCAGTTTGATTTAGAAGAGCAGAGACAATACAGTAGCCTCATGTACGCAGGCAAAATCTTAATCTCAGAAGGATCTTATTGTATGGAGAAACACTCCTTTTGATCTTTGATGTGTAAAGGCTGGTTAGGGACACAATGAAACATAACAGAGAAATTGGGCAGAAAGATTTCAGCAGCCATATAATCAAGGACAGGAGACAAGAGGATGAGATTTGGGAGGGTTTACAATGAGGGCACAAGATAGATTTGGGGCTACAACAAAAGAGAGTCAAGTCCAAAATTGGGACCCTACTTTGACCTTACAGGCAGAATAGGTGTAAAAAGTCTCTCAGAGCTGAAACTGGAGATAGCGTTTTACTAGCCAGGTAGGTGTATTTGAGATAAGGGTGGTAAAAAAACCAGACATGATTCACTGTGGATAGTAAGAAAGCAAAGCTGAATTTCCTATTTTGTTTCAGTCTACTTTCAGGACATCCTTTGGCATGTGTTTTCACCACCAGGCCAACTCTCCGAGCTGGCATACAGATGAAAGCAAAGCCTGACCTTTTTCCCATGGGATCTGTTGTCACCTGTGCATTTTGCAAGGGCTTCTGGAGCCATTTCCTACTCATGCTGCACAGTGCAGCTCTTCCCCAAGGAGCTGTGACCAAATGTGCCTGTGTGGGAACACATGGGAACAGTGCAAAGGGAGCTGCAGTCCAAAGAGGCGCAGGTGGGCTACTAGAGTAAACTAGTAGCTAGTGACAACTTTTGCCACAAAGAAGATGTGTTACGATCCCAAGTGAAATCAACTTCCATGTTTTACTGCGCATCTCAGGGTAGGTCAACTGCACCTGACCAAAAAACAAACAAACAAACAAACAAAACCCTCAACAGAACATAAGCCTGGGTAGAGGAGACACAAGGGTTGGTAATTACTGCCATGTGTTTGCTGGAGGAGCTGTGGTATAACGTGTGACACTTTTGGGGAATTTTTAATCCGAAGGTCTTCCTCTTGGATGTGAACAGAAAGGAAAACAAAGCCCTGAGCTCAGCTCCACATCCCACTTCAGGGCCAGCAGACGGCTCAGCCTGCCTCAGGTGCACCTACCTCACCTACACCTCTATTTTAGAATCATAGAATTAATTTTTTATGTTGGAAAAGACCTCTAAGATCATTGAGTCCAACCATTAACCCAGCAGCACCATGTTCACCACATCCCCAAGTGCCACATCCACACATTTTTTGCACACTTCCAAGGATGGTGACTCAACCACTTCCCTGCACAGTTGCAATGTTCACAGTTCACAGTTCCAATGCCTGACCACCCTTTCAGTCGAGATTTTTTTCCAAATATCCAATCTAAACTTCCCCTGGCACAGCTTAAATCTATGTCCTCTTGTCCTGTCACTGGGAGATGATTTACCTGGAAGAAGACACCAACCTCCACCTGTCTACAACATCCTTTCAGGTAGTTGTAGAAAGCAACAAGGTTCCCCCTGAGCTTCCTTTTCTCCAGGCTAAACAACCCCAGCTCTCTCAGCCACTCCTCATAGGACTTGTGCTCCAGATCCCTCACCAACTCTGTTGCCCTTCCCTGGTCATACTTCCTGCCCATACCTGGTCAGACCCTCAATGTCTTTCTTGTAGTGAGGGGCCCAGAACTGGACACAACACTCGGGGTGTAGCCTCACCATGGCCGGGTACAGGGGGATGCTCATTGCCCTAGTCCTGCTGGCCACCCTATTGCTGATCCAGGCCCGGATGCTCCGCACTGCAGCGGCGGGACACGCCGGGCTGCCCCCGCTCCCCGGGGAAGCAAACGGGCTCCCGGGGCCGGGCCGCGGCCGCCTCTGCCACCGCCTTCGCCGGCGACACCGCGGCGAGCGGGGAGCAGCCGGCAGCTGCTGCGGGCTGGTTTCCATGGAGACCGCGGGGGGGAGGCCCTGGCGGAGGGGAGATGTCTGCGGGGACGCGCGGGGGGAGCGGCGGGCAGGGATGGCGGCGGGGAGCGGGAGGGGAAGGGAGGGCGGCGAAGGGCGGCGGCCGGAACCCTGCGCTCGGGAGGGAGAGGCTTCCCCGCGGGCCCAGCGGGGCAGCAGCAGGGAGACCGGGGTCGCTGGGGTGGCTGCGGGACAATGACAGGGTGTGCAGGGGAGGGAGAGGAGGATGAAGAGCACGTGGGGATGCTGCTGTGGCAGGCTGTCACTTCCATGGAGGCCTGGCCAGGTGACTGCTCTACAGAGCTCTGCGGCTGCATCCTCCGTGGAGATCTGCAGCAGGCTTAGGGAAGGCACCAGCCATCCTCCCCGTTAAATATTTAGCAGTTTAGCCCAGCCGCATCCTCTGGTGGGAGCCCCGATGGTGCCCGTGGTCACGCTCCGGTGTTGGAATACAGAGTGCAGGCAGGTGCTCGGCGAGGATCAGAGCGTGGGGTAGTGGGCAAAGCCGCAGAGGGGCTGCAGAGGAAAAACAAACTGCCTGTGTGAGCACACGGGCTTGGGCTTCACAAAGGAAAGAGTTGCAGAGTTCAGGGTGGTGGTTACCGTGCAGCAAAGTGCTTGTCACCATGGTGACCGAGCAGTGCCGCATCTTCCTGGGAGTGGAAAGCACCAATCCTAGAGTTTTGCAGTGTGAGACCAGTGGGTTAAATGCAGCTAGTTTCACCTTTTGAAGGCAGGGGTGACAATCTTTGTGAGAACTGTATATATTCCATGTTATGGATTGATTGGAATCAGCCTGGTGCCAAGCCAGTGGCTATATGTATACAAGAAGGACACCATTAATATGTGCTGGTGTCCATTGCAGGCAGTGTCTTCCAAAAAGAGATTTGCAAAAGTGAAGGCAGCAGCAGGGAGTGCAGCAGGGCAGGAGGGTGGAGGTGGCAAAGCTATTGTTTGTCTCAAACTTTGAAAAGTAAACGAAGTTTTGACTGAAGGTTAAAATATATTGGTGTCATTGAGTAGGGGACGGGATTTATCAAGTTTTAGCTAAGGTGTTCAAATTTCTGTCTTAGGTAGTTATAAATATATCAGTGTATATTTACGTATAAATTTGACATAAATATGTTGAATGTTAAGCCCAAAAGGATCCAATGAAACTTTTTTGGTTGTTTGTTGGGGTTTTTTTCATCTGTTTATGAAGAATTGAAGTAACACTTCTATCTATCCATCTTCAGGTATACCAAGAGCTTTCCTGGTATTTTGGGATTTGTTTGGGTTGTTTTGGTTTTGGTTTTTGTTTGGTTGGTTGGGTTTTGTTTGTTTGTTTGTTTTTCTTTTTTTTTGTTGGTGTTTTTTAAATATTTTTTTTAATTTTATTTTACCAGCAGCATATCATAATTTGATAAAAGTTATTACTGCTCCATACAAACTTTGATCCTTTTCAGGAAGTCCTAAGTATTCATTCCAGAAGAAAACTCTTTAAAACCCCTCATCACTGGTGGCTCCCATGAAGGGTGACAGCAAACTTCCCTGAGCCTCTGGAAAATTCCTCCATTCCTGCATGCCTGTCTAAGAAGATGGTAGCTCTAAACATGGTCTAAGAGACTTGCCATTCACTGGTTCTCATATATGGGAACTCAACCAGAGTGAGGGAAAACCAAAAAAGGAAAGAAATAGTGGATTCACCCTTAGCCAGGTCTCCTTAGGGTCACTGAGAATGAAGCTTGCTTAGGGAAATAGTGGCAGATTCCTGAAGCATTCAAGGAGGATTTTGTTGTAGGGGAGAGGAACTTTTGAGTTCAAGAGCTGTTTGCACTCCAAAAGACAGTGCCCATTAGGGAGGTGAAAACAGCACTCATGGATGAGTTATTCAAAATATGTTCAGATGGGTAAGGCAGTGTTGTGCTGTGAGTACTTGAGAATGCACCAGATGAGATGGTGTATCTGTGCATATCCATGCAGAGATATTATCCCTGGAAGGAAATTAGCCATATTAGCATAGCGTGACATTGAGGTTAATATCCCCCATCTCTGAGTAGAATTTGTTGGGTCTTGAAGCACATGTGGCTATATTGTTTCTACCTCTATAGTTACTTGGGGCACAACTACCCATGACCAAAAACAGAAAAAGTAGGCAGGAGCTGCAAGAGGTACTGAAAAACCTCCAACCCCACTGTCAACTCTGCCAAAGCCTGGCTGTCAACTCTGCCAAAGCCTGGCTGTAAACTCCACTTAGAAAAGGGCTGAGTTGTGTAAAACAACATTTATGGCTGAGGCTACTGGCCTCTCAGAAACATCCTTGTTTCCTCTATTCCCTTATTTTTGGAGTCTTGAGAGACTCCGTTCCAGTTCCTTTCTGCCTTCTTTACCTTCCCATCCTTTTTCTTTCTCTCTCCTCTTCTTGCACAGGAATACTGCAGTGGCAATCTCCACATCAAAACTGATTTTTTCCTACACTCCTGAGAATCCACCAGCCTCCTCTGCCACTACGTTGAGGGATCTCTGGTGTAGCCACATCCTTTGAGACCACCCAGCTCAGGTATGTTCCCTATAGATAACCTGACAGAAAGCCCTGCTCCCTGTCACCCTTCCTGCCTTGCCAGACACTGTGGAAATGGCAGCAGCATCAGAATTACCTGGCTGCTTTTCAGAGGAATGTGTCCCAGAGCAAAGTAAGGCAGTGGCCTCAACCACTCAGTATAATTAAACACAGCAGCATTTTTGTGTAGCCTGTGCCGTGGCAACCACAGCAGTTATTCTCATTCAGCTGGAAGGTTTAGAAGGCAGAGATGTGGTATTTCACAAAAGATCCTCCTTGCAGGCAGGGCCTTAAACCACTTCACTGAATGAAATACACTCGTGGAGAGAGGAGTGCCAGAGGAGGGAAAGGGGGATGGAGAAAAACACACTGCATAGAACCACACTATTTCTGGCTGTTGCTCAATAATAGCTCTTGAGGCAGCACCTGATATACTATTAGGGTGAGAAAGGCTTTTTATATGTAATGCTTTGGGACCTTGATAGCATCTCTGTTTTTTCTCTTGTTCTCTCTTGAGTTCCCCAGAGAGGCAATATATTGTCTTCCCTCTAGTTAAAGGGAGAGGGGGCTAATTGCATTGACAGGTCACTCTGTTTCTGTTGAAGGTGAAAGCAAAGGGCTAGCTAATTCATGCACACAGACAAGAGGATATAGCACTGTTCTGTCAGCCATTCCAGGTACTATCATTAAGGTGAGGTGAGGCAGCTTGGCACAGAGTGCATGTAGCACTTGCTGGAGCAAACATCTGGGTCAGGGTAGCAGAAGGAGTAATGCTGATAAAGAAAAGCCAGTCAGAAATGAAGGGAAAATCAGAATAAAAGACAAAGGGTCTGATTGTTTGGTTGCTATTATGACCCTAAATTCTTCTGGCACCATTAATGGGAAGAGAAATTGTGTGGTCACAGTACTTTTGCATCCCAGCTATTCTTTACTCTAATACACCCAACATACAGGTCAGGTGGTAACATTGCCAAGGGTAGAGTAGCAAGCACAACTTGGGACATGCCAAAGGGACTGTGAGATCCCTTGCCACCCAGGATGGGCTTTAGATATTATGCTGGAGGTCCTGAGACACACAGACAGAACTCGAGTCATGATCTGCTGAAAGGAGCAGCAGAATTGGAGAGCCTAAGGTTGGAACTCCAACTTCAAGTTCAAATTTCTTCAGGGCTTAAGGTTTGGATACTGCTGCCAATGAATGCAAAGGAAATTTGGCAAATGCCCTCAGCTAATGCAGGAGAATAATATCACCTGAGTCTAACATAGTGCTTTTCATCAAAATATCTCATATCTGTGTCATTACTGATAGTTTTTTATGTCTTAGGAAACAGAGATGTGGAGAAGGAAAGTGAAATTGTCCAAAATTGCCCTCTAAAGTGCTGGTAAAACAAATAGGAAACCTGCTGCCTTACACTGCCAAACTGAGTTTACTTGTCATGCACAAGGGAATGAAACATAAGGCTGCTGTCTTCCTCTCAGTCCTTCTGAGATAAAGCAGAGAACTCTCTCTCAGACTGTGGATACTAAAGTCTCCTGTGCCAGGATAGCAGATGACTGCGCTGTGTGTGTCCCATGCCCTATGAGGATCATTGTCCAGACACGTCTCACTTTGCAACTGGTCTGAAGTATTCTTTCCTCATGTGGGATGGCAAATGGTGGGGAGGTAACTAGATTGATCTCCCTTGTAGGCCTTTCCCTGGGACTTGGTACACAGGTTCCAGATGGTACAAAGCCCCTGCTGCTTGGATCTGCACAAAATCCTGCGTCTTCCTCAACCTATTTCACAACAGATTTGGCTTGCTCTCAGTCGGTTGCTATTTGTACAAATTAAGCTGAGCTGCCAGGAATGTTTGCAAACAGGGAAAAGCAAAGTGGGATGCACAAAGCAAGTCAAAATAGGTCTCAAATCTGGCAAAATGCCTTCAGGTGCTTATAACATTTGACTTACTCTAGCCCGTGTATTACACACCCACACACTCATTCATCCAGCTTTCTCTTGCCTTCACGCCCACACGCGCTCACCCTTCACAAATTCATTCACCTTCTCTTCTCCCCCACCACTTTCTCTCCCAGACACGGTCATTCCCACACACAGATCTACCTCAGACACACTCTTTGTTCCCCACATACAGGCACACACACATTTTTGAGTGCTGAGTGCAGTGTCTGTAGGTGGTGTATATACATTCATGTAGCAGACGATGCTGTAACCTTATACCTATGCTGAGAAAAAGCCTTTGCGATTAGTGAGCTGAGAGCTCTGATTGCTCTCACTTTCATGTAAAATACTACTAATCCAGTTTATGGGGCTGGCTGTTTCCATCCTTCTCTGCCTTCATTTTCCACAGAACCTCCC